CTAAGAACTAATACTCATCAACAAAGCCACTAAATTATTGATGCATAAACAATAGAAATCTGAACAAACTCTTGTCTCTGCAATGGAACAACTTTCGATTCTCTCCGTCGTCACATTCCCTTACATCGGTCAAATTAAAACCTTCACTTCTCTTCCAACAGAACAATGTCGACGATAGCCACTTCGATCTCGATCTTCTTCTCCATTTTTGAGTGATGCTGATTAAAATTTTGGAGATTTTTGATTCTCTATATTTTAGTGATGCTTGATTATATTCAACAAAAATGCTGATTAAAATTTGGAGGAAACGCTTCTAGAAGATATTTTTTGTTTGACTGACTTTTTATTTGGTAAGAAATTTTTTTTTTCCAATTTTTTGTATGCTGATGTGTTATGGAGAGAGTTGCTGATATGTCATGTTCTTGTGAGACACAACCCAACTTGTACAAATGTTATCATTTTTTTTAATAACTCAAATTTGATTTTTCGTTCAACCGAAAAGTAAGACACATATGAATTCTGTTAACTGAGTTGTGAAAGATCATTAACTTCAAATAAATAGAGAGGTGTTTTTAATAATTATGTCTAATCTAGATATTATATTATACAAGTTTGATATTTTTTTTTGTCAACTCAAGTTTGATACTTATTATGGTTACCACTGGTGACATGTAATTGTAAAGTCGATTTATAATTGATGTTATAATTCGATGTAGTTTGTAGTAAAATTTTATGGTAAAAACAGTATATTTATGTGGTGAGTTTGTTGTATAAATATGAGTTAGTATTTTTATAAAAACCTTGATTGGTAACTTTTTGCAGTAGAAATTATAGTATATATTATTAAAATGATATAAATTTAAATGATCAGTAATAATATTTACTATAAATTTAATTATAAAATATATTAAATGAATTAATACTAAGTTAAGAATAGTTAAATTTTTATATAAAGTTGGATATCTTAAAATTAGTAATTAACATGATCGTGACATATGACAAGTTAACCGGTCAAATTTTAATTTGTGTTATAATTAAAATATATTAAAAATTAAATTTAAATTTATAAGTAATTTGATTTTGATAAGAAAATTAGTGTTAATATAATATTAAATAAAAAATGAAAAAATAAAATAAAATTAACATTAAGAGAAATGCCTTTAGATACACCTAATATAAGTTTTTTGTTCCTAATATATACTAGCATGGTAAATAGTTTAATACCATAATTTTTTCACATAAAGTGATTATATTACCTTTATTTAAATAACACGCTGAATTAATTAAGAAACTAAAACCTATTTTAGAATATATATCTTCAGATTAAAACTTCCGACGCCGTCATCCACCATTACTAAAATCACCCGCCAAGTCTCTGATTCGTATCAACTCCAATCAAATCTCCGTTCATGATCAGATCATCTCATATAATCTCTATTCATCATCGGAAAAGAGAGAGAACCAAGAATCCTTCAGGATCTCATCAATATTGATCTTTTTCTCGAGATTGATATCAAGGAGATAAATCGTTTCATATCTGATTTCAGATTCCAAGTTTGTTCTTCTCTACCACCACAAGTTTACTATAGGTGACAGATCTGGTATAGAAGACTCCAATCTGGCCAGAAAAAGCTAAATCAGTCTGCGACGATTAGGTGATTAGGTTTTCGAGTTGGGAAAAAATTGTTGATTTTGGGTATGATTTGGTTCTAGAAAACTTTTAGAAAGATTTCTTATATATTCAGGAAGTCTTTCCCTAATATGTTGTTCTTCTCTACCACCATAGAGTTTACTATAGGCGACATCTGGCATATAAGACTCCAACTTTGCCCGAAAAGTTAAATCGGTGAGATCTGCGGTGGGTGATTATGTTTTCAAGTTAGGAGAAAACTGTAGATTTTAGCTAGGATTTGGTTCTCGAAGACTTTTATGAAAGTTTTCTATATATTCAGGAAGCCTTTCCCAGATATGTTGTATTAATTTTTTTTGATATCATACCTCTTCGTTTTGCTTATGTTGATTAAGTGGATAGTGGTTTGCATATGATACACCTCTAAAAACGTCTTATACTTAAATTCAGAAAGTCCTTCCACAATTTATTATTTTTTAAAAAATTTAGAAAAGTTTTCCTGAATCATATGATACGATGTTGGATTTTAGTGTTTAGAAGACCTTCCTGAAAACTCACGAAATATTAAAAGAAAAAAATATTCAGGAATACTTTCCTAAAGGATAAAATCAGAAAGATCATTTATTCATCAAATAAACGAAGACTACACTCTTATTGAATGGGCTCATGTAGTACTATTTGCGTCTTCTAACAACACCAAATAAACCTCAACAGGAGGAACGTCAAAAGCATGAAAACTAAAAGGTAGAGAAAAGGCTTGGTTAGCTAATCCACTGGCTAGACGATTCGCCTCCTTGAACACATGAGTAACTCGGACTATCTAGTGCCTTGATAAGAAGCCATAGCACAAGTGTACTAGGAAGGACATTGGGGTGAGTATCACCATTGCATGCTGTTAAAAAGCCGACAACAATCTCCAAATCGACCTCGATCTCCAGTGTGCGCACTTGTCTCTCCCACGCAATTTATAGGCCATAATACACCCCATAGTTCTGCTAGCGGAGCCGAGCATACTCTGATATTTAAAGTAAATTCTCTGCACCATTTCCCCTCCTCATTCCGTAGCACCCCACCAGCTGTGGCCAGTCCCGGATTACTTCGAGACGCTCCATCCATATTCATCTTCATCCATCCTCGTGGTGGTGGATTCCACGAGATTTATCGCTCTTCTCTGATCCCCACATTCGCTTGGACTCTGAGCTTAGAATTTACACTCGAGATTTTCTTATCCAGATCTTTAATAAAACGCACACAATCTCGACATTTCCCTATACTACAGAAAACATTACCACACCGCCATTTCCACGCCCACCACACAGCAATTGAAAACTCAATTGACCATAGTGTACCTCCCATATCGGAATCATCTCCCAAATTCTCAAAAATCCAGTCAAGTAGCGATCTCTCGAAAAAACCCTCTCCTCTTCCTTTGCGAAACAATACACGTCCATATTATCGACATTGCTTGACAATCCTGCAGTACATGGATTATTGACTCCTCTCCCCCCCACCCGCATACTTGATAGACTCTTGTAGCACTTATATGTCTTTCCAGTCTTTCCATATTTGTCATGATTCTTTGATTAACAACGAGCCATAGAAATATCTTCACTCTCTCTGGTGCTATGACTTGCCAAACCCACGCAAATAGTAATTATAAGTTCTGTCTAGGGGTGCCATCTCTGGTAATAAAATCATATGCGCTTTTCACCGTAAACTCTCTATTCTGTTCAGGTCCCCAAGACACTCTATCTTTTGCCCCTGTTCGAAAACCACTGCCGCCAACTGCAAGCGAATATTCATTGAGATATACGAGATAATGGAAGCCAGTAATCAACCTACTCCATTTTGCCATAACTCCCACACTATAGCATTAACTAACTCCTCTGGAATCTCTACTATGGCTGCTTCCAATAATGGTATATTCAGTAACCATTTGTCTTTCCAGATCCTAACATTACGCCCGTCACCAATTACCTAGCTCAATCCTGGGAGTATAACTTCTCGCAGACCCAGTACCACACTGCACCATGTCGATGACCAGTTCCCTTTTGCAGTAACTCATGAAACGTCCCTTGCATCTTTCACTTTGTACTTACACCTCACCACTTTTTCCCAAAGGCTAGCCTTGTCATGTATTAGCCACCAGCCTAACTTTCCAATGAGAGCCTTATTCATGTCCTGTGCTATGCGGATCCCCAAACCCTCTTCCCTCTTTGGTCGACAAACTTGTTTCCATGCCAGAAGATGTTGATGCCTCTGGTCTATAGAATCTCCCCATAAAAAGATGTAGAAATTTGATCTAACTTGAGCAATGTTGACTTTGGTAGTGAGATGGTGCTCATGGTATGTACTAGAATGGATGATAGGACAGCCTTAGTAAGAGTGATCGACCCCACAAAACACAACATTCGCCCCTTCCAGCCTGCTAGTCTTGACTACACTTTCTCCAGTACTTCCCCAAAGGTGTCTTTATTGATGCATTTTTGTAACACTAGCATCCCGAGGTGCTTCCCTAACTCCCGTGTAGCACCAATGCCACTCTCATAACATATCTGTCTTCCCTGCTCCCGACTTACATTTTCTGAGAAGAATATATTAGTTTTCTTAAGACTGATGACGCTACACAAAATCGTTCCAGGACCCATCTAATTATTCTAACTTAAGCTAGTGATGCTTCTGCAAGCAAAATCAAGTCATCAACAAAACATATATGGGAGAGTTTCGGGCCTCCACAGGATATGCAAACTGGTTTCCACTCCTTACGGCTAATCGACTGCTCCAATAAGTGACACAATCATTCCCGACAGAGCACAAAGAGATATGGAGACATGGAATCTCCTTTTTTCAGCCCTCATTTTGGGTTAAAAGCTTTGGTTCTCTCACCATTCCATAGTATGCTCATCGACGGTCCCGTTAAACACTGCATGATCCACCCTATCCAGACCTCTGGAAGTCTTGCCACCATGGCGTGTCCTCTAGAAAATCCCACCTTACACGATCATACACCTTCTTAAGATCTAATTTCAGCAACACCCAACATTTTCTCCCCTTTTTACATCTCATTGAGTGCACAACTTCCTGAACTAATACTATATTGTCAGTAGTTAGCCTTCCCGAGATGAAGCTAGACTGTGTAGGTGCCATGTTTTGTTTAAGTTTTGTTTTATTGTATTGGTTTCAGATTACTGTCCAAGTCATATCTTTTCTTTCTTCAATTTTAGGTTTGACATTGATGATTGCATACGGAAAGACATTGTGGCAACATGGCAGTCAGATTTTTGGGGACCATGGTGGACCTTTACCATGGTCCCGCAATCTAAGAAGGATTCGTGGTGGATTTGATTTGTGGTGAGTTAAAATTTAATCTATGTTTGTTATTAACATAATTACATTTGACTCTTTTACCTCCTTACTTTAGTTTTTTCTGTTATTTGTTGTAGCAAACATACTTTTGGAAACTACAGCATCACGATTCTGTTCTCTGGTGGTGGGAACATACTTTGAAGCAATCAATCGGCAATCTGGTTAGCAAGAGGAGGAGAAATAGGAAGAAACCAATCTATATTGGTGTAGCAGACTGGACTCTATTGGAAGCGGCTTGGGGCGAGGTCGTAAACAAGAACAAGAGCCAAACCAATTCACAAAACCGTTCTTCAAATGCAGATAGATTAGGCATTTACCGTCACGTTTCAGGATAAAAAAAAATGCTCACGGGTGGCTTATGAAATGGTAAGTTTAGTTTTCTTTCCATCTAATTTAAAATCTTTAATTTTATAAATGCTAAGTTTCTGTTAATGAACACATTTATTGTCTTAGGCGATTGAGAATGGTGGGGTACAACCATCAGCAACTGAATTGGTGCGAAGGACACACGCTAAGAATGAACATTTTCGGTGACAAACGAGCAGAAGCTCGTGTAGCTGCTGCTGAGGCATTAGCAAGGCAGCGCTTAGAAGAAGCAAATTATCTGGACAGCCAAAATGAATCAGCTGTCACTGAACCTACCCCGCAGCAGCTTATTGATGCTTACATAGATGTAATCGTTTAGAGTTGATAATTACTTGTTGTACAACTGATTAAATGTGTAATTATTAATTGTATGGGTTATGATTGTTACATAAAATTTAAACAATTACTTTTGTTTTCTTTTTGCAGGTTGCAATGAATAACAAAGGACATGTGTATGGACTAGGATCGACTCAGCATGTTGATGTTGCTGCCAACGAGTCTGCTGGTGCTTCTCTCCGCAGGAACATGGATGTAGAAATGCGCATGACCGATATGGAAGGCCACGTAGGCGAGCTAAGCAATGAATGTGCAGATATGAAGAAAGCGATGGCGGTGCTTTTGCTGATCAATGGAGTCGATCCGGTAACACTTCAACAAGTTCCACGTGCATGTTCGAGTGAGTCTGCAGATGATCCAACCCAGCTCCCCCCCCCCAAATTGTTCACCTTTAGAGTTAAGGTTTTCAGTTTTAAGGTTTCATAGAGGAATGATGTGATATATTAACTCTAGTACTTTAGGTATTTTGAGATTTTCAATCGGCTATTATATATGTAATTATTTATTTTAGTTATTTTTTTTTTCAATCGGCTAATATATATGTAATCGGCTAATGAATGTTTTATTTCAGTTTTATAAGAAACTGAATTCAATTTAATTATGTATTTTATGTATTTTATTTATTTAAATTTTTCTATTAATCAAAATTTGTGTCTATTTGAGAACAATTATTCAAATTTTTTGTTTTCATATATATATTAGCTATAAATAATTCGTGGCTATGTATTGTCATTACTATGATTAAGATATGTCTATTAGTGGCTAATAAATTATAAAAGCTATAGATTGATTCTGACTAATTTGTAGATATATTAGATACATTTGAGTGGTGACTTTTTGTGTCTATTTATCACAAATAAGTTACGGCTATCAGTGGCTAATTGCTATGATAAATTTGTGGTAAGTTGTGGCAAATATAGATACAAATAGGGTCGTGTCTATATGTAACTATTAGCCACAAATCTAGTTCTGTCTATGCTGTGGCACCATAGCTACGAATAGCAAGGAATGCCAGATAGCTACGAGTTCAAGGACACAAATTTGTGTTGTGTCAAGTCGTGGCTAATGCCCAAATAGCCACAGATAATCAATCATAGCTACAACTAAATTTGTAGCTATAAACAATTTTTCTTGTAGCGGGCCCTCTCTAATCAGATGTAGCATAGAAGAGGTTTTATCAATCCATCCGGAAGTTAGAATAAAAGAGATGCAAGGTACTAACTAAGCTTAACCAATATGATAGAGATGGATTATCTAACAACCTAAGTGATCAAAGATAAAATGCATAAACAAAAAGGAAGGGCTAACAAAAGTAAAGCAAGAGATGAAATGCAAAGAGACTAAATGCAACAACTTCAAATGCAAGGCAGGAAAAGGAACAAAAGCAAGGCAACTAAAAACAGAGGAAAACAGAACATAAGATGATCAAATGCAAAGGACAATATGGCGCATGTTCAAGGCTAAAGCATTGAGGACATGGGGATTACTTAGTATCAAACCTAGGGTAGTTGAGACTAATAACAAGCAAAGAACATGATCAAGCCACTAAATCAATCAATCTGAAAACAGAGCAAATATGTCTAAGTTAAGCACATGCCAGACCCACTTGTGATGGCGTATTTGTGTAAAACCAGCATGAAAACACAAGACTCTTAAAGAACAAACAAACAACCTAAACACAATTTAATCATCTGGGCGATTGTTCCTAGCAAAGTTCTTTCAGACATTTAAACAAACACTTTTGTTGCAGCAAATACCTAAGATCATATTTCACTAAAACAAGTTATTCAAGCCTTAAGAACAACTAAGCTAAATGATCTAAGCAAGAATTAAACCAAAACTCCCTAAGTTATCAACCAATCATCACTAAGTCAGCTCTAACCTCAAACCATATGAAACTTCTCACAACACATCATGGAGTCAGCAGAAACAAGCAGAGATGACAAATCAAACATTATCAAATAGGAACTTAAAGGAAAATCACAAAGGAAGTGCAAAAATTTATTAAAAAGGTGATCAAGATCAAAATCCCATAAGAATCTCTTTGTGGTTTCCCACAAGGCCGAAAAAATAGGATAATGAAGAAGATAATGTTCTAAAAAGATAAGGGTTAGCTTAAATAACCCAAAAAGATAGGGTTTGACAAAAAGAAGAAAAAGCTTGGTCAACTCTCGGCCTTGACGCATCGGGGTGCATATGTGGATGTTATGCTTGTTGCATCCAGCTCGATGTAGAATAACTCTTGTTGTGGCTCGGTCATCCCTTTGGTTGCTCGGCATGCAGCAAGTCTCGATTCGTATCGGGCAGGTGGTCGGGCGTTCAGCTCGATGCCGGACCCTGCTATGTCTTGTATCTTTAAATTGGCATGTACGGCTTGCTTAGCTCGATGCACTACCCCGGTGCAGTCTTGGAGTCCACAGTCAAATTCTTCTTCCTCGTCCCACGATCCACATGGGCACACTTCATGGATGTTCTGCTTGATGCTCTCCCTCGATATGGACACAGAGTTTGCAAGACTCCTGCTCATGGCATCTTCTTCGAATGTATGCTGCTCCAATCTCCTTCCCAAGTTTCAATACTTCTAAACACACCTGAAATACACCAAAAACATGCACATGTATGCAAATCCTAAGCTAATTGCATGCAATACTACTTCTAAGTGCAAATGAGACTAGAGTGCTAAGTAAAGATGCAAAAGCAATGGAAAACATGAATGAAATGCAGCCTAAACCACTAGAATATAGCAAGTTATCAACACCTTCACACTTATCCTTTGTTTGCCCTCTAGCAAATAAAACATTCAGCCTGGTGATGAGGTTTTAAAATGGGAACTCATATCATTGAAATGCTAACAATGAATCAAAATGATGTCCACCTTTCTAGTGCTAGAATGCAAATGATGGAACTGTACTCTAAAACATAGCCACACTTGTCACAAAATGAAAATGATTCTCAATTTATCAATCTACACAAACTCTCAAATCACTTGACCTTTTTAATATTCATTAAATAAGTAACCAATGGATCAAGATTGTGCAAATCAAGTGAAAGCATTTGGTTCAAGGGACATGGTTATGAGATAAAAATGATCTCATTCATCAATGGCTCAATGAAACAGGGGATCTCTCATATGAAATGAATCAGTCTTAGGCAAAATGTTAAAGGTAAAAGCACACTTATGCATGCAAGTCAAAGCTCTCTTCTACACTTTTCCCAAAGATGATCCTAATTAAGTCTAAATCCTAAGATAACCCCCTAAATCTACCCTCTCCTTTGATCATTTTCTTCTTGAAATGTGGGGGACTTCTTCTTCTTTTGCTTGTATGGCTGACTTCTTTTAGAACTTGCTCTTCTTTGTTGTATAGGCGCCAATTTCATCACCTTTTTGGTGGATTTCTTAGTCTGTTTTTTCTCCTTTTGGATGACCTTTGTAAGCTTGTTGTTGCTGGCGCCTTTACCTCTTTGTAACTTAGAGCTTTCTTCTTTTTCACTTAACCACAAGATACAATCATCTTCCCACAATATCATTCTATTCATGAAACTTTTCGCACTCTTCTTCTCTTCTCAAAAGATACAAACATTTAAAGCTTAAACCATTTAACTCTACCCTTTCCCAAAACTCCTAACCTAGTATCAAGCTCAAAATACAAGCTAATGTCTACAAGATAGCTCCTCCTTGCCAGCCTTACTACTAACACTTTTTTCCAAGATAAATTCGAAAATGATAATGCAAGGCCTCACAAACTCTCACAGTAGTGTTTGGGTTTAGATGGAAGGATTGGTTCAATGTATGGTTAACTGTTCCTTAATGATGAAGATCAGGTACTTGGATCAACATGAGTGGTGAAAAGGAAGGAGATGATCCAAATATGTATATTGGTAGCCATGCAATCACTTTCAATGCATAAACAAGATAATTCAAAGTCCAAATTAAGGTTCCACTTATATAAAGGCCAAGATCAAATCAAGCAAGCTTCAACTTCAAACAAGAGTTTCAAAATCATAAATCCAAAGAGTGGTTCAGCCTTATTTCAAGTGCTTCATCAAATGCATCAAAGGACTAAGAACAAGGGCATCATTTTCATAAACCACTAGCATTTTCAAAGATACACTATCATTGCACCCATTTTAAATAAGCAAGCTACAACCTAAGTGAATGCATGAAGTCTAAGTCCTATATGAATGCACATGAAAACTCTGTTTTTAAGAAATATATTTTCGAAAATTTTCAAATTTTTATGGATTTTCTATGACTTAAGTGCAATGCAAGTATGATGCATGGTTGTCGTAGCTATATGTAAATGCAGCTGTAATAAGAATTAGTCTAAAAACCCTCCCCCACACTTAAAATACACAGTCCTTTGTGTATTAGAAATGTAAAAGGAGGCAATATCACAAGTGAAACAATGAAATGTGAAGGAGAAGATGTGATGAGTGAAGGAGAAGGAAGGTGTGTACTTGTTATTGGAGGTTAGAGGGGTGGAGGATGGACATTCATCACAGTGTGGAAGGCCAGTGGAGACCATGAGGTAATGCTATTCCTTCAATCCTGGGGTTTTGGGATGTATTTGTCTGTATCGAGCTGTGCCCTTGGTGTTATGCTCGATGTACATGCCCGATATGATCTCCATCATGCGTTTTTACCAGTGTACGATTCTCTCTTCACGGTGTATGGACATGGACTCTGAGTGCGATTACATCGAACAAGGTAATTGGAGGTTATGCTCGATGTAACACCTCGATATAATCCCCCTCATGCAATTTGCTTGATGTACGGACTGCTTCTTCCCTGAGATGAACTGCATCGAGCAGATTTTGCAGAGGTTTTGCTCGATATGGCACCTCGATGCAGAAACAGAGCCTTTGTTTTCTTTGGTTTTCCGTATTATCTGACCAACCTAACTACTTTTTCCAACCTGAGAAGACTTAACAAACATATCAAAATCAAAAGGAAAGCATATTTACATAAATAGGCAAGAGATTACCTCCCAAGTGTGCTTTGTTTAAGGTCTCTTAGCTTGACCTTTCTTTTATTTGCTAGGGTGGGAACATTAAGGAGACTGAGATCAGTCTCCATTGCCAGGGCTTCTGAGGCTCAGTATGGCTTGACTCTGTGTCCATTGACTGTGAATATTTTCCTCCTTCATTATCCAGCAATGAGATTGCTCCATATGGAAGAACTTCCTTGATCTTGAATGGTCCATTCCATCTTGATTTAAGCTTTCCAAGAAAGAGCCTTAACATTGAGTTGTACATAAGCACTAAATCTCCTGGTTTCAGTTCCTTATGCACTATTTTCTTGTCATGGAAGGCTTTAGTCCTTTCATTGTAGATCTTTGCACTCTCATCTAATCTGATTTCTTCAAGCTCATGTAATTGCATAAGTCTTCTCTCTTGGGCGCTCTTAATGTCATAGTTTAGCAGCT